CTCTCTCCCTATTTATTTCAAAACCCCCTTCCCCTCCCCCTTTTCTGCTGAAGGGTCTAGGCCCGAAACGTCAGCCTCTCTGCTCCTGTGATGCTGCTTGGCCTGCTGTGTTCATCCAGCCCTGCACCTTGGTGTCTCTGACTTCAAATGTGTCCATTAATCCAGCTCCCTCTTGTGGTTGAGCCTCACGAGTTGACTGATACTTTGCTTCCAAACTTGCTTTCCTTGAAAAAAGTACTAGAAATTAAAATGTTAATCTAAAAAAAAACTCCAATCATTTTGACTACTAGAAGCAGGAAATGAAGTTGATGTTGGCTCATTAATTGTGGATATTATGTTTGATGTGATATAGCAGACATAAACATCCCAAGATTTCAAATACACAGATATATAGAGCAATATGGGATATGCTGGCATTCTAAATGATAGAATTGGAAGCTCATCACAGTAAAAAGATGGTTTTGGAAATGCAATTCCACCTTAGGGGCCTATATTACATTTTTTTAATTTTGTGGCAAGCGACGCATTCGAGAAAATTAACACTAGCGGGTACAAGAAGAAATGTGCATATTGAGTATTAAAGGAGAACCATTTGTTGTAAACTGCTGCTTTGAGGACATACATTTAACTGAATGATTTCAGAGCTGCTATTGTGTGACAAGAGAAAAAATCATAACCTTCAATAAAAGGTTGTAGTGAATATCTCCTATTTCCTCCTTTTAACAAAGAAACAGTATCCAGGGAATAGTATATTTTGAAAGGTTTGAACTTCAATTTTTTTTGGCATATTGTTTTATTGTTAATTCATGGAAATGAATTGGCTCTGGGCTAGGTGAGCTGTCTGCCTTCTAGCAAGTATTAAACCTTCCCTAAAAACATGATAAGCTCCGAAACCATAGTCTTTACACCTTCACTCTCCTCTTCCCTCGCTCTGACTCACTCCTGCCACACTCACACACTATTAGCAACTCTTAATGAGGAACACATACATAGATCATAGAAAGTTATTACTCAGAAGGAGGTCATTGTGCTAGTTGTTAACAGCTATCCAATCTCATCCACGTTCCAGGTCTTAGTTTTTCGCTTTATAAATTGACATTTCAGGTGTATATCCAAATGCTCCTTAAATGTGATCAGAGGTTCTGCCTCCATCATCATTTCAGGTTGTAAGGTCCAGTCCTTCGCCACTTTCTGGATGGAAAGAATTCTCAAAAACTCCTCTCTAATTCTTCTACTTCAAATCTATTTCTGTTGGTTACCCTCCTGTATTTTAATGGGATTAGATCCATCTTGTCCATTCTGTCTGGGCCCCACTGTAACCTTATGCATAACAATTAAATCTCCACTCACCTTCAGTGTTCCAAACAAAATACCCCCAGTCTATCCAGTCTCTCCTCAACATTAGAAGGTTTAACAACAACAATGTAAATGCATTGTTGTAGAGTAGAGATGGCGTAGTGGTAATGTTGCTGGGCTAGCAAACTAAACGATTGCTGTGGAGGTGTGAGTTTAAATTGCATGATAGCAGCCAGTGGAATTTCATTTCAATTAATAAGTCCGGAAAATAGAGTTACACTTGTGGTTTTTATTGTTGTGTAAACCATTCAGTTTCACTGATGCCCTTTAGGGAATGAAATCTGCCGTTCTTACCTGGTCTAGTCTCCATGTGACTCCAGAACCAAAGTAATGATGGCCTAACAAGCCACTCAGTCAAGACCAATTCGGGATTAGCAATGACGCATTCATCCCATGAAAGAATAAAGAATAAATAACTCCTCTGACCCTGTCTAGTGTGTGATCATGCCGTTCCTGTAATATGGCAACTAGTATTCTAGCTATGGCTTAACCAGAGTATTAAACAATTCCAGTATAGCCTCCCTCATCTATTCAGTGCCTTGAATTATTGAAAGATGTAAACTGTACATCTTCATAACCACCTTATCCAGCTGTTGTCCTATTTTCAGGCATATAAACATGCACTCCAAGGGGCCTCTGCCCCTCTATATTCTGAGTATCCTCTGAGTCATTGTGTATTCCTTTGTTCACCCCAAATGCATTCACCTCAGACTCCACTAGATTGAATTTCATTTGCCACTTTTACGCCAACCAATCAGTTGATCTCTTCCTGCAGCCTGTGCCAGTCCACTGGAAGAAAAACTCAGATAGCTCAACTCTGCTACCTTTACCCAGAAGCCCTGCAAATCTTTAGTCTTCAGATAATTAGCAAATTCTCCTTTTTGAATGCCGTGATTGAATCTGCCTGCATCAAACTACGTTGCAGATTCTAAACACCCACTTTCTCCCTCATCATCAACTAAACCATTCTTGAGTGTCTATGTAGAAGATGATTTAATAATGCTTCATCAAATAATGATTGTTGTGGTGGGAGTCACTCCTGGGCACTGATTAAATGTTTAAACCACTTTTGAAATCTCTTGTTGATTGGATTGTGTATAGTCACATGTGCTGTTTGGCTGTGAGAACTAGCTTACTGATTTAGAATGCAAGGTGATCAAAATGGCTCAGAACCAAGCAAAATTTTTTCCCGGTACTGTAGAGAGTCAGAAAGGGCCCTGAGGTTTCAGGATTTTCTCTCCAATTGCAATATTTTAATGTTGAGATGAAGATGTCTAATGGTGCATGACATTTCCTAAATTCATGTGAATACACCCTGAAAATGTGTTGAGATTGATTTCTAAGAGAATCAATCATAGGATAGAATGCAGATCTGACAGGAACGACCTGGAATTGGGCTCCGACAGTGGAATTTGGGTCAATACAGGAATGGGTCAAACATGGAGTTCCTAGCTACTGTGCCCAGAGTAGAAGTCAGTTTAGATCAATTTAACCCATTGCAAAACTCCCAATTGCCGATGAGTTGAATTTTGATTTACTTTTTCACAGATTAATTTAGGGCTGGTGAAGAGCTGAAATCAGTGGAGTGACTTGTTAACACCATGGCAGGCCAATGTTCTGGGGGCATAAGTTCAAATCTCACCATGGCAGAAGGTGAAAACTGAATTCAACAAAAGCTGGAATAAAGAGCTATTGTGTAACAATTATTGTTAAAAACCCATCTGGTTCACTGATGCCCTTTAAGAAAGGAGATTGGCTGTCTTACCTGGTCCACATGTGACTCCAATCCCACTAACTTGGTTGACTCTTAACAGCCCTTTGGGTAATTTAGAATGAACAATAAATCCAGGCCTGGTTAGCAACTTCCACATCCTGTGAATGGATAAAAGAGCACTTACCAACCAGTGTTTGTCAAATTAGCAGTTGTTTAGTCCACAGAATGACAATGAGGACACTGAAATGGCCAGCGTGGTAAGTAAAAATTTGCATTTGTTACTTTACCCTGCTTGCTGAGTTTGTTCCAAGTGGGAGTGTTGGAGGACAATGATTCTGCACACGTTGGTGTAGGAGTGAGAATATAGAGAACAGGAACAAAGAGTGCATTTAATTGAGGATGCACTGTACCTCTGTTTGAGTAAGGGAAAGAGAGTTTAGTTGAAAAGTCTTCAATTTAGACCTGTTATCATAAACAAAGTGCTTTCATAACATTAAGTGCTACTCCAGAGATATTTGGCTGAAAAATAAGTATTAAACAATCATAGAATGGTTACAATACAGAAGGAAGACACTCAGCTATTGTAACTGTGCCAGTCCTCTGCGAGAAAAACGTAGATAGCTCAACTCTGCTACCTTTACTCAGAAGCCCTGCAAATCTTTAGTTTTCAGATAATTAGCAAATTCTTCTTTGAATGCCATGATTGAATCTGCCTGCATCAAACTACGTTGCAGATTCTAAACACCCACTGAAAAAAAAACTTTTCCTCACTTCACTTTGATTCTTTTACTATTCATTTTAAATCAATGTCGTCTTGACCATTTCACCAATAGGACTGGTTTCCTCCTATTTAGTGAACTGAGACACTTTCATGTTTTTGTACTCAGAGATATTCTGTGATTGTTAAAAAGATTTATTTAATGGAGGAAGCTACAATAACCATCCTTGGCTTGCTAAAATAAGTTAAGGGTGGTATCAAATTGAAAGAAATGCTACAATGCTTGAACTTTTCTGAATGCTTTTGGTCATCACTTTAGAAAGTCCATTGTGAATATGATTCTACTTATTCAATATCTGTGGAAATGGTCTGGTCTGAATGAAAAAAAATAATGTTTTTAATCACACCCAGTCACCTCTTGTGCTTGATTTAGCGTGGGAGAGAGAAAAATTGGGCAGAATGTATTAGTGTGCAAAAATAGAAAGGAAATAATGGATCTGCAGAAGCAGGTACATTGCCAAAAATCTGTAAGTGGTCTTTTATATATATTTAGTACAGGTGTGTTTTCTTCTCCCAAGTGCTTGCCAGTGCAACATACTCAATAGATGCCATTGGATTGCATCAAACACTCTCCAAAGAAGTGGTTCAAATTTTCATTACTGCTGGCACTTGTGTTCAGTCCGTCCAAGAATTAGGAGATCAAGGAGATTGTTTCAATCTTGATTCCAAATATCAGAGTGAAAACTAGCCAAAGAAATTGGATTTTTGATTTGTTCTTAATCCATGTTGCCACCACCTGGTACAATCACTGAATTCCCCACTATCAATATTCTGGGGGTTATCATTGACCAGAAACTCAACTGGACTCACCACATAAATACAGTGGCTACAAGAGCAGGTCAGAGGTTTGGAATATTGCGGCATGTAAGCCACCTCCTGACTCCCCAAAGCCTGTCCACCATCTGCAAGGCACAAGTCAGGAGTGTGATGGAATACTCCCCACTTGCCTGGATGGGTGCAGCTCCAATAACACTCAAGAAACTTGGCACCATCCAGGACAAAGCAGTTTGCTTGATTGGCAATATATCCACAAGCATCCATTCCCTCCACTACCAACCTACAGGAGCAGCATTGTATACCATCTACAAGATGCTCTGCAGAAATTCACCAAAGATGCTCAGACAGCACCTTCTAAACCCGTGACCACTTTCATCTAGAAGGACAAGGGCAGCAGATATATGGGAACACCACCACCTGCAAGCCATTCACCATCCTGACTTGGAAACATACCGCTGTTCCTTCACTGTTGCTGGATCAAAATCCTGGAATTCCTTCCCTAATGGCATTATGGGTCAACCCACAGCAGGTGGACTGCAGTAGTTCAAGAAGGCAGCTCACCACGACTTTCTCAAGGACAACCAGGGGATGGGCAAGAAATGCTGGCTCAATTAGAGATGCCCACATGACAAACTGAATAAATTTAAAAAAAATTAATGAGGAGCACTGATGCATGAGAAACTGAACCATTCTAATCTCCTGAGTGAGGTGACTCAGAAGTCAGGAAAGTAAAGAATTGGATGAATTGTAGAATTGTTACATTATAAGAGGAAGCCATTCAGCCCGAGAAAATGAGAAAAACCACGTATATAGAGTCATAGAGATGTTCATAATGGAACAAACCTTTCAACTCTTCCATGCCGGCCAGATATCCTAAATAAGTCTAATCCCAGTTGCCAGCATTTGGCCAACAACCGTCTGAGCCCTTCCTATTCATATACTTGTACAGATATCTTTTAAATGTGGTTAATTGTACCAGCCTCTGTCACCTCCTCTGATGTAAAAGATGTCAAAGCAACATTTGAATGGTGAAATAAAGAACAGAAATTGCTGAAAAAAACTTATCAAGGTCAAGCAATATTTGTAGATTGAAAAACAGGGATAATGTTTTGGTAAAAAAACAAAGTTGCTGGAAAAGCTCAGCAGATCCGGCAGCATCTGTGAAGGAAAAAACAGAGTTAACGTTTCAGGTCCGGTGACCCTTCCTCAGAGCTTCCGCAGTTCTTTCGGGTTTTTATAATGTTTTGGTATGATGACCTGGATGAAGTTAGAGACTGAGTGGTATTTAAGCAAATCCATAACTAGGAGAAAAGAGGAATAGCAAAAGGAAAGGGTGGATGCAGGGTGTGATTTAATGACAAAAGGGATGAGACAAAAAAAACTCCCAAGAACTGCAGATGCTGAAAATCAGAAGTTGCTGGATAAGCTCAGCAGGTCTGGTAGCATCTGAGAAGAGAAAACAAAGTTAACGTTTCAGGTCCAGAGACCCTTCTTCAGAACTGATAGTAGCTAAGAAAAACCGAAAGAACTGCGGACGCTGTAAATCAGGAACAAAAACAAAGTTGCTGGAAAAACTCAGCGGGTCTGGCAGCATCTGTGGAGGAGAAAACAGAGTTAACGTTTCGGGTTTCGGGTCAGTTCTGAGGAAGGGTCACCAGACCTGAAACGCTAACTCTGTTTTTCCCTTCACAGATGCTGCCAGACCTGCTGAGTAGCTAAGAAAAGGTTGGTATATATGCTGAAGTTGGGGTGGGAGAGGGGGAAAGAATAAATGATAGGTGGAGATGGAGCAGAGAGAGAAAAAAAAAACAAAAACTGAAAGAGCTGCGGATGCTGTAAATCAGAAACAAAAATAGAAATTGCTGGAAAAACTCACCAGGCCTGGCTGCATCTGTGGAGAGAAATCTAATAAAAGGTCACTTGATCCAAAATGTTAACTCTGATTTCTCTCCACGGATGCTGCCAGACCTGCTGAGCTTTTCCAGCAGTTTCTGTTTCTGTTTCTGAGCGAGGAAAAACAGTGGGGCAGACAAAGAAGTGGGTAAAGCTCAGCCTGGGAGAATGAGTAGCTGCTAATGGGGATTATTAATAGCCTATAATGGGTTGTTTGCCGGTTATATTGTTCCAACTTCTTTAAAAAAAAATCCCAGGGCCTTACAAGCTGTTTACTTTATTGGCTTGGAAGAAACAATTCAGAACTCTGTCTCAAAAGTTCTCTTCAAAATAAAAGGACAAAATACACCCCCCCAAAACCATAGTATCATCACACACTGCTCCCACTTTCTCAGACATCAGGTGATAGTAATGTTTCTGCTGGTACCATTTCACCCCTCATCTTGACTCATCTTTTTTTCTGGATGGTCTAATTACCATCTCCCCTTTTGCTCTTCCCACAGCAGCTCCACTCCCCTTTCCCTGTCTCACTGGCTTCGAAACCACAAAGAGTTAGCAATCTGAAATGTTAGAGATAACATATTGCGGAGCTCGAGGAACACAGCGGGCCAGACAGCATCAGAGGAGCAGGAAAGTTGACGTTTCAGGTCTGAAGTTTTCTGAAGAAGGGTCCCAACCTGAAACATCAGCTTTCCTGCCCCTCTGATGCTGCCTGGCCTGCTGCGTTCATCCAGCTCCACACTGTGTCATCTCTGACTCCAGCATCAGCAGTTCTGACTATCTCTCAATCTGAAATGTTAACTTTGTTTCTCTCCCACTCGAATCTGGCAGACCTGTAGGGTGCTTCCTACATTTTCCGATTTTACTGAAAGTCACAGTATCTGCAGAATTTTGCATTTTCATGCTCAAATGTTTAATTTAAAATAAATTAACATGTATCACAAAAGGTACAACCAATGAGAATTGCTTTTTTTAAAAAATAAAGTATATTTTCATTTTACATCTTCAGGCAAACCACATTCTTCGTCAGAGGAAAAGAACGGTTTCCTAGAATCTAACTGTGAGAGAGCCGCTGTAACCATACAGACACAGTACAGGAGGTAGCAGCAACAGAAAAACTGTGAAAGTAACCTATAAAGGCTGAAATGTGCCTTGTTGAGGGCTTTACTACAAAGTGTAATGGTTGCATTTCTCTGCAATGTAATACCAACTGCAGGAAGATTAAATTAGTAACAAACAGGTGATGAGTCTGTTGTATCATGCCATGCCTCAATGAATAAAATAGTTGCTCATGTAGCTCAAAGTTATACAGTGTCAGCTGTCTGTAACTTTCTAATCTATGATTCTATTATGAATAAAAACAGGAGAAATGCTGTAGGTAACACTTATAACTACTTATATGTTTAACATGCACAAGATACTGATTGTCAAGAGTTGCAAAATGAGGATAGAGTTATCATATTGGGCCAGATTTCATTTCAGTCCTTTGTGTAAAAGGTTGGGAGCTCCCTTTGTTAAATGCCCCTAAGCATCCTTTGTAAAGTAAAATTGGCCAGTCTAAACCTATTTTTTTCCAAACTAGAATCCACTATGCAAAAATAAATTTACCCAAGCAAAGCAGGTTGAGGGTGATCTTATTGGGGTTTATAAAAAAATCATAAGAGGCATAGATAAGGTGAATGACAAGGGTCTTTTTCCTATGGTGGAGGAGTTAAAAACTAGGAGACATTTTTTAAGGTGAGAGGAGAAAGATTTAAAAAGGACATGAGGGGCAACCTATTTACACAGTCATTTGTATGTGGAGTGAACTGTCAGAGGAAGTGATGGATGCAGGTATAGTTGCAACATTTAAAAGACATTTGGATAAGTGTATGAATAGGAAATGTTTGGAGGGATATGGGCCGAACGCAGGCGGATAGGACTTGTTTAGTTTGGGATTATGGTTGGCATGGACTGGTTGGACCGAGAGGTCTATTTCCAAGCTGTATGACTCTATGACTCTAAGTATTACACAGATGCCATCAGAGTAGAGGAAACAGAAAAGTTATATTGGCATGATAAAAGATTTTTGCTCCGAGGCTGTGTGTTATGGCCTGTTCAAGATGCATTGGATTTTGGTGTGCCTGATGTTAACATTAGCAGGTGAAAGTAGAAAAATATTTCTCTGATAAGGTATGCCTCAAGATGTTGATCCACAAAGAAAGGAATGTTTGGGAAGTAGTGATCACAATATGATTTAGCCCAAGAATAAAAGCAGAAAGCAAGGAAAATGAAGAGAAGGCATTTAATATTTAAGGTTCAGACAGTAACTCTCCATTTTCAATTAATTCTATAATTTAAATTCCACGTTAATTTTAATTTATCATTGCAAATTATGTCCCACTGGTGTTGATTTGAAGTCATTGTCTATTTGTGGCCTAGATTTGATTGAAATATATAAGATCCTGAAGGGTCTTGAAAAAGTAAATGTGAAAAACAGACTTTAATGGGAAAATGTAGAACTTATTGTTTAAAAATAGGGCGGGTCACCTACTTAAACAAAGATGAGGTGATTTTTTTTTTCCACTGAGATATGGAGAATCTTTTGAACCTTCTTCCTGAAAAGACAGTGGAAACAGAGTCTTGGAACATTTTCAAGACGGGGTGGATTGATTCTTGACAAGCAATGGGTATGAAAGGTTATTGAGGGTAGGCAGAATATAGAGCTGAGATTACAATCAGATCAACCATGATCTTGTTAAATGGTGGAGCAGGCTCAAGGGGCTGAATGGCCTACTCCTGTTCCTTGTTTACGTGCTGAAGCCGGTTGAACAATTGAGTAAGTTCAATTCGCTAACATAAAGAAATAGTGGTCAGTTAGTCTAAATAGATGCATTTGAACTAGGATATCATTTGAATTCAGTATCTTTGAATTAAAAGGAGCTGACCGCAAGCAAATTTGTTCAGGTAATTGGTAGGAGAAGTTGCAAGTTTAAGAGCATCATGGCATCATAAGGTAACACTGAATGTATAAGGCTGCTGAATACAGGTGGGAAGATTTGTCCATTTGCTTGTGCAGATCAGAAAATTACCATTGACCATTTTTGATACATTAATGGAAACTCAATCTTTGGCAACACAACCTCTCATTTCCCAATGTATGTGACCAGCCAGCCTGCCAGAACCAATTTCCCATAATACTAGGCCATAACCATTCTCTTTTTATCCCATGTGTTCCTGTTAGAGGGTTCTGTCTCTGTTCCTCTCAATAAGACTGATTATATTCTCCCATCCCATTTAAGAAATTGGTGAGGGATTGAGGTCACAGTCTTTCAAAAGAGAACAATGCTGCTATTTAGCTTCACAATGAAACTGAGCAGTAAGTACATGTGTGGCTGGAGAGCTATTACGACCTGACAATGTTCAGAAGCTGTCATAGAACAACATCAAATGAATGATGTATCACATCAGCTAAGCTGCTACAACACTAGCAATCAGTGCCCTGCTTTCCTATCATGTTGAGCCTCACATTAACTCTCACTCCTTACAATTTTAAGCACCACACTCTCAACCCTGCAGTGTTTAGACTGGTCTTGTAAACTTTGCAGAGATTTCATTATGTGAGGAATAAGCTTTTTGCTGAAAATAGAGCGGATTGAGGAGCCCATCACTCACTCCGGCTCCTAAATTGGCAGTTTGGGATTTTTATGAGGGATGTTGCTATTGGGACACAGTGTTAGCAGCAAGAACAAAGCTTGATACAAAGGTAAACCATGTCTGTCTCCACAACCTTTGCTGAGAACTGCTGTTAAACCAACATAAAATATCCATTTTTCCATATCTTTGTTCAGTTCAGATTCTCATTTATTACCAAATAAATGCGCTTTGTTTAATTCCCATCCAGGAACTGGGCTGAGCCTAACCAAGCATAGTACACATGGGAACCTTACAGCCTGGAGCTTTCACTTGAGAAGGTTGCAAAGTTGAAACCTATGGGGACAAGGGGTAATATTGTGGAAGCGTCATCACGTTACCCCATGTCTATTACTGACCTGCTCTCACATTGTCTACTATTGATCATCGCCGTATCCATCCTCATGTTTACATCTTCTTAACTAATTGAAATGTGAATGGATCTTACATTACCAAATTGGATGCTTCTTGACTCCAGTCCAATACTTTTATAAACAGCAAACAAGAGAGTTGAAATTAAATTAAAACACCTTTATATTGCTCCTACAATTTTTCTCTTAGGTTTCTTGTCACAGTGAAGCAGATGGTCTTGGAGTTTCCAGGATAACTTTGAGAATTGGTAACCCTATCCAGAAGTGAAAGGGCAGCCCGGAAGGAACTTTCAAAAAGAAAGGAATTGGAAAAATTGTTGAAAGGGAATAAGTTGGAGTGAGCCACCCGAATAGAATTTATTTTTCATACATTGATACTCCAAGTGTGTTGGTATGTAGCTGAATTGAAACTGAACGCACTAGGAATTATCTTTCGCTTAGAAGTCAGACATGGTTCAGAATATATTTCACTGGATGCCTCAGTTAGAAATGGAATACTGAACATCACATTCAAATGTTCAGCAAAGCACTCAAAATAACATTGCATTTACAACCTATCTTTAAGACAGCAAAACATCCTAAAGCACCTCACATTCAGTGATACAACTAAAGCATCTTGTATTGAATAGCCATGAAGGTGCTTTATTTTCAGGGCTTGATTGATCTTTTGTGAAAAGCTGGAGGGCTAATAACCTGAAATATTGGACAGGCATCAAATGAACAGATGCTGTGGCCAGTCACATGGATTGGCAAGGCAATAATGAAATAAAAAGGAAATCTGTTGGAGCACAGATATTTCAAAAGCCAATTACAAAGGAAGTGGAACCAATCCTAACTGGTGTGAGGAAAACGGTGAGAAAGGCCAACGCATTATAAAAGTGACATTGCTCTGTTCAGGGCTTGTGATCATTAGCAGGTAGAGGCTCTCATTATTGTCTTGCTTTCCTGGGTACAGAAATAACAACCGCAGAGCTAGCACCCTTCAGAATCCTTCTGAAGCAATGTTCACCAACATGTTCTACTGCCCTGCCACTGACCCCATCGCTTCATTAACTGCCAAATCCCAGACTTCAGAATCCTGAGACACACTTGAGACTTAATTTAAATAACTTAAAACAGCACCATTGTTGATTAACCTGTAAACTGGTGGACTCTGGCATTTTGAGAAGTCTGAACTTCATTGCCTCCTGCTCCACAATCTAACAGCCTGTAAAATTGCAATTCTCTGTGTTGATGTGGCAGCTGTCACTACCCAAAGTGTTCTGGGATGTTTCAATTTAATAAGGCATTTATGGAGATGTACATACCAACATTTTAATTGTGGGTTAGATGAATGTGAGACAAATGGTTTAGAACAAAATTATACATTTCTAAATAAGCTAATTTCAATTCATTTGTTTAGAACAGAGCAAAGGTCCTTAAAGAATTACAGCATTGAATTATTAAGTAGGTTAATTGCATACTGTAACAGTGTAAAGCATGACACTAAACATCTCTGCTTGGTCCATCAGGTTAACCCTTCGACATATCATGTATAATCTACTCAATCATCTACTCTGTACAGTTTATTTAAATTCCTGAGGGAGGTTCCTGCTAGTATGTTGTAATATAATGTAAGCAGTTATGGCAGCTTAATGGTCCCAGAAGCAGAGGAACAATCACAATCAAGGAATATTTGATATGCTATGATCACGCTTTCCTCTGTAGCCTGTCCTTGACCCGATTCTTTATAGTGGAATAAATATGGGAACGAAGCCGTGGCTAGGATTACAGGAATGTGCATCATAGTTGACTTCAATTCTTGTCGGAGTGGCTAGAACTTTCTCCTTTAATTCCCCCACAATCAACATCCTGTGGGTTACCATGGGACCAGAAATTGAACTGGAGCAGCCATATAAATCGTGTCGCTACAGGAGCAGGTCAGAGGCTTGGAACCCTGTGGTGAGTAATTCACCTCCTGTCTCCCGAGAGCCTGTTCACCCTCTTCAAGTTACAAGTCAGGAGTGTGACAGAATACTGCCAGCTTGTCTGGAAGGCTGCAGCTCCAACAGCACTCAAGAATCTCCATACCATCCAGGGCAAAGCAGCCTTCTTGATTGGTAATTAATCCACTAGCTGCAACATTCACTGGCTCCACTGCCAATGTACAGAGGCAGCAGTGTATACCATCTACAAGATGGACTGCAATAACTCACTA